AGGGATATCCTGGACGAAAACCTTCTCCAGAGTGCTCGGGACCTCAGACTGGGCCGAAGGTTCACCTTCCAACATGACGATGACCCTAAGCACACAGCTAAAATAACGAAGGAGTGGCTTTACAACAACTCCGTGACTGTTCTTGAATGGCCCCGCCAGAGCCCTGACTTAAACCCAATTGAGCATCTCTGGAGAGACCTGAAAATGGCTGTCCACCCACGTTTACCATCCAACCTGACAGAACTGGAGAGGATCTGCAAGGAGGAATGGCAGAGGATCCCCAAATGCAGGTGTGAAAAACTTGTTGCATCATTCCCAAAAAGACTCATGGCTGTATTAGCTCAAAAGGGTGCTTCTACTAAATACTGAGCAAAGGGTCTGAATACTTATGACCCTGTGATATTTCAGTTTTTCTTTTTTAATAAATCTGCAAAAATGTCAAAAATTCTGTGTTTTTCTGTCAATATGGGGTGCTGTGTGTACATTAATGAGGAAAAAATGAACTTAAATGATTTTAGCATATGGCTGCAATATAACAAAGAGTGAAAAATTTAAGGGGGTCTGAATACTTTCCGTACCCACTGTAACATCACAGAATGGCCATTGTTCCCCACTCCTCCTCAGCATAATCATTGAGTTCATACAGTCTAAAGTAGCTGCCACAGACATTGATGGATGATGTATAATGGATATTTTTTCACTGTGTTACCAGTCAGGCCTCCCCTTTAAGAGCTTATGGTCAATTTGATTATGACATTGGAAGCAGTGTTATCTATTTTGGCAAAGTGGTCAGTGTAGTAATATACATGCTACTAATGGTGGAAAAAGGTTACAGTAGACACTAAAAAGTGTCCAGATAAGCTTTCAGTGCAACAGAGATGTAGATGATTCTGGATGACATCTCAGCTTTCATTTTGGCACTATAATTATATACTGTACCTCTCCTACTGCAAAATACCTACCTACTCCTTTTCATGGTGTGTCATATTGAAGTGGTTGGTTTTTGTAAAACAAAACCTTATTGGATGCTCTGACTGCAGCTGCAAGTGAAATCCACCCTTTTTGTTTCTGACACACGAGGTGTGTGTGTGTGTGTGTGTGTGTGTGTTTAGGCATGTCTTTATTTACATTGTGTAGACATTTTTTATGCCATCATTGTGAGTACATTTGCTTTGTGGGGACATTTTAGCAGGTTCTAACAACTTCAGATGTCATTTTGAGGTTTAAGACTTGGTTTTAGGGTTCAAATCAGAATTAGGTTAGGGTAAAGGTTGGAGTTAGACATTTATTTATGATGGTTGTCATGATAGGTAGGGGACTAGGGAATGCATTGTATCAATGCATGCACAGCTAGTTGAGACTCTTCCCAGCCAAAGGCAAGTGGATAAGATTATTCAGTGTGGCTGGCAGCACATGCAAACTAAAAATGAACTCAGTGTGGTTTAATGTTTGCTATTTAATTTTCATTTTGATAGATAACTTTGTTGGTATGTTGTCTACTAAACAGCCATGTTGATAAAGTAAAGTCAAGTGTTTATTGTCATATGCACAGTTAGGAAACGTGTTTCCCTGTACAATGAAATTCCTACTTTGCTGTCCGCACGAATACCACACAATATAAATGAAATATAAAGTAGATACGTAAGTGACATACAATCAAAATAAAAAAAATCTAAGACACTTTAAAGCAGCCAAAGAAAGAAACAGTGAAAAATACCACAAATAAACCACAAAATCTAAGGCAAATAAAATGGAACAAATGGACAAATGTAAGTTTTTGGGTACACATTTGTGTACAAACTTGTTCATAATTCAGCCATGGAGGTTACTGTGTCAAGGTTGAAAAGTACAGTTACATTTCAATGCTGCAGAGAGACATGGTACATGGAAAGTTGAAGATTCCAAGTTTAAGCTAGATCAGTTTCTTTAGTCTTAAAAACTAATAGATGACCAGACTCACAAACTCAGAATCTACATTCTTTGCAGTAGCAAATAATTTCAACAAAAACCACAATGTATTAAAATTATGGTTTTATTAGCTCTGGCCTTCATTTTTAGGCAAGGCAATGTATATTCATATAATGCATTTTCATACACAATAGAAATTCAGATTACTTAACACATTGCACACAAATACACTGTTTGAAGGCCACAATTTACTAACCTCTGGACATAGGAATAGAGCTTAACCTCTCACACTTAGGTGGCATATTTGAAACAAGCTCCAAACACTGCTTGAGGTTTTTTGGTGGAGATACTCACTCAGTAATTGACTACCATGAACCTGCGAACAGAGTTCCCTGCAGACTTCCCTCTTACATTTCATTAATTCAGGACGAGACCCCAGATCCTCTCGAACAATAACAACCTGCAGTTATAGGCAGCTATCTCCTTATACCTTCAGATGTTACCCTACTGAAAGGTTTTAGGAACCAGTATACTCTGGCTTTTTGAGGAAGTGTTGAGTTTTGTCTGATATAACCCATAAAAGCCATGACACTGGCCACTTATTACCATCTTTGCTTTGCACAGTAATTAGCTGACATTGGTTAACTTCCCAAAATAGGATTCTCAAGTTACAGTATATATGATATAATAAGTAAATAGCTGACTACTATTTTCTGATGCAGCTGTCTGAAAATTTGTCAGTAATTTAATGTTAATTATCAATCATCACAAATTTTCTCTTGAGATTAACCATATTTAAACCAATTGTATTGTAATTTATGTAATAACCATCATATACAGCTTCAAACATCACTACATACAAGGTCTAAAGCCACTACAAGGAGAATAATAACAAAGCTGACTCAATAAAGAAAGAGAGTTGAACCTTTTTTTAGAGATTTTATATAGATTTAAAAAGAGTTACAGCAGGGCAGTAAACAATAGGGCAAAATCTCAAAATCATCAGCAATCACTGTTTGATTAGCTTACAACTAAATAAATTAAAAACTACAACTTCTAATTATTACTCTATGCTAAAAATCACTGAATAAAAGTCTCTTACTGATCACCAGTCCTTAGTTGGTTCGAGTTGGTGGTTGTGGCATTTTGTTGAAAATCGTTATTCCCTCGTAGATTACCTTTAGGTAGGAACCTCACATATTTGTTGCTGGTATGTGGAGTTTTATTGAACAGTTCAACTGTCCATCGTTGAGACTCCAAACAGTCTTCCGGTCTTCCTTAAACTCAGAAAAACCATCAGAAAACAGACCAACAAAATGGCATGCATCCTCTGATGAATCTGTGGTTAACCGTATAAAACCATTTGTATCATATTTGATACGTGAGGTTTCTGAGCAAAAAAATCACCAAAAATGCCCCATGTATCAAATGTGATACAAAAGAAATAGAAGTAATCTAAATAATATGGCATAATATGGTAATTCTTGACAATGTTGTGCACTGTGGACATAGGAACAGTAAGATCTGTGGAGATGGACTTGTAGCCTTGAAATCGTCTGTGCTTTTCTATTATTGTGGCTCTTAAATCCTTTTATTAACAAGTCTTGTATTCTTTTTTTGTCTCTAGCACTGAAGAGATCCTTTGACACTGAAGATGTGGACGACATACCTTCTTTCTCCTCAGCTTCCCCCATCTCCACTCCCATTTCCCCTTCTTCCTCCCATTTCTTCCTCAACCACACTAAAGCTAGTGAGGGCTGGGTAGGAGGTGACCAGTCCCCTTCATTAGCCTTCAACAACAACAACAACACCCTGGGCTCTGCAGCCCATCACTCCTGCATAAACTTGAGTTCCAATCCCAGTCCTGTTCTTAAGTCCCATACAGTGGTCAGCAGCATGTCCTTCAATAGAGGAAATATGAACAAGCCAGTCATCCACAAGACTGGCCCCTCTGTGACCAGAGCAGCATCCTTTCAGAGCAGGGTAAATCCCAATGGTTATGCCATGTTGTCTGGGCATAGCAGTGACAACGACCGTCTTCACAGCTCCACATCAAGCCTGGAGTACTCTGGAGGGGGTGGAGGTAGCCTCTCTTTTACCAAGCTGGGGTCACCTCAAGGGAAGTACGACCAAAACCAGCCCCAGCTCCCACAACAGCATTTAGGAGGAGGCTCCCCCTTGGGAAGCACCCACCACCTTAAGAAGTTCTCATCCCATGGGAGTGTTTTCCATTCCAAGATGAATCATGGGCCACTGTGTATTTCAGAGCCTCAGGGGGTGAACCATGGCTCCATGCCCAGCCTAGACCATCAAATACATGATGGAGGAGGAGGAATGGTGAGTATGCAAAGAGATGGAGGCAGGATGTCTCCAGGGTTGACATATGCCAATGCTAAAGCTGACTGGAACAGCTATCTTCATAATGCCAATTCCTTTGGAGAGGAGGGCTACTATGGCTCAAGAAACCAGTGCCAGCAGCAACGGACCCAGGTCATTAAGTCACCCTATTCTAAGGCCAAAGAGATACCACGTCTCAACAAGTTTCCCTTAGATCTGGAGAGCTTGGTAAGCAGCAATTCAACTACATTTCCCACCAAGACCCAAGAAGGATCCATGACTCCCAACCCATTCAAGCCTCCTTCAAGGAGCACAGGAGGTGTCCAGCACCACACCAGCCCACCATCTATTTCAGCCAGTCCTTCAGCATCTATCAGCAGCCTTGACAGTTCTTCTGACACTCCAACTTCCTCCCTCAACTATCTCGTTTTACCTTTCTCCCCACGTTCTCCAGCTCCCTCACAGGGCTCTGTGCCTGTCCCAGAGATTACCTGTTCCCCGTTGTGCCTTTATCCAGCCCAGAGCTCCCAGGTGGGGAGTGTCTCAGTGCCCCAAGCTGTCCAGCTTCCCCCAAGCAGTCCTTCCAGCCCTGGAGCCATTTGGTCTTTGGAGGATGTTGCAGGTGATGCCAGAGACAGTGTAAGCGCCATCTTACAGAGGATTGTCTCCTTCTCCCGGCCAGTCATCTCTGATACCACCCAAGCAGCTGTGACCCAGCACCCTACAGTTCAAAGCAAAGGTCAGTTGTTATGTGGATTAGAGTGCCCTACTGAGATCACATTCAAACCCTCAAGGAAACAGGGGAACAAGAAACAAGAAGGTAAAATGGTTTATGGAAAGTGCTTAAAATGTTGCATGTGTAGTCTTTCTCTGTAATCTATAACTATATAAGATCTTGTGTGCATTCATCTGTGCCTGTGGTTCATTAGGCAAAAAAATGGCAGGAGTGATTTCAGTGGCGGGTAAATAACTTGCAACAGTGATCAGGTGTGTTCAACGGTCATCTGTGTATGTGTGTGTATATCTTTTCTTTGTGTGCCTTGGGTGTGTCATCTGCATTTGTATGTTTTAGACATTCACCTGTGTTGCGCAACATCAAGCACTAACTTGACAAGACCATAACACTACAGTAGAAGAATACACATGTTCTTGACATGGATTCAGTTTATACAAGCTGCCATTATATTAATCAGATCAGACTTAGATTAGTGCTGTACGTGTGCATGTGTGAATATATACACTTTGGATGAATACACAGTTTGTAAAAGACATGGTTAAATATGCAGCCTAGAGCAGGGGTAGGCAGTTCTGGTCTTTGAGTGCTGCTGCCCTGTTTGTTTTCCAACTGTCCATGCCCTACCCAGTACTGGTTACCTGGATCGGGTGTGTTCAGTCAATCAAAAGCTGGAAGATACCATCTTAGATGAAGGTGAAGTAAGGAAAGGCAAAGTGAATTGATATCTTCCAGCTTCTGGTTGACTGAACACATCTGATCCAAATAATAAGCAGTGAGTAGGGCATGGATAGTTGTAAAACAAGCAGGGCAGTGGTACTTGAGGACTGGGATTGCCTACCCCTGGCATAGAGGATGGTTGAAGCTGACAGGCATCACTATCCTCCAAAGTTTACAGTTGTGACACTGATGTTATTATGCCACATCTGTACTGGCTTCTGCTTTATTGTATTTTTTACATAAACAATTTGTGCAGAACTCAGTTTCAGTCTGAGCTTTGGCACCAGTTTCATCACAGCTGTCATCTGTGTTCACTGTTTAAATAACAGGATAATGTGCAGCAATGCCTGTTCACAGTGAAATGATTGTTTTGCTCTACACATTGCTTTACTTAGGTGGTTTGTTTCCCATACAAAACCTAAAAACAAAAATGAGGACCCGGGGTCTTTTCCTCTACTCCCTTTCTCTACTCTTAGAGAAACACACAGAGGAAAAGTTAGGAGAAGAACGCAAAGCAGAAAAGACTTTTAAAAAAATAGAACCACAGAAGCAGTTGGCAAAATCAAACTTTCACTGTAGTAGAAAAGGTTGTGTTTTATCTTATCAATCATTAATGAAAATGCAGAAATCCAGCCCATAAACTAATGCAGTCAAATGTCTCTAGTCATATATTGAATACAGATCATTGTTGTATGACCAGATAATTTGGGGGGGATTAAAATTATCTGTCCATCCATTACCTATACTGCTTATCCTGAAGAGGGTCGAAGGAGGGCTGGAGCCAATCCCAGCTGACATTGGGTGAGAGGCGGGGGATACCCT